TGCACAGCCAGGCTGGGAGCCCCGTGACACCGTTCTCACCGCGCCTCCACGAACGCTTCCTCACTCCCCGAGACACCCTCGGGCCGGCTCACCACCAACCCCATTTCTCAGATGAGAAAGTAAAGGCCCAGAGAGGCCACCGAGCTGGCCTCGGGCTCACAGTGAAGGAGAATCCAGCCGAGACACACCCTGGGGCTGCCCGAGGCGGCCCTCTCCCCTTCACCAGCCCAGGTGGGAGATGTTGGTGAGTCCTGACCTGAGGACTGAGTCTGGACAGAGCCCCCATGGACTGACCAAGGCCTTGTCCCCGCCTGCCTCTCCCAGGCCAACAGGCGACTCCAGAAAGCCCCTCGCCCTGGGCAGGCGAGGCCAGTTACCCATCTGGCCCCATGTCCAGTCTCACCCATCTCCGCCCCGAGCCACATCTGATGATCTATAATCAGGGTGAGCATCCAATTCTCCTTCCCCACTCGGGCACTTGTGAGAATAAATTGGGATGCTTTTATGCTTACACACACGCTCACACACACCCACTCACACACACACACAACACACACACACCCACTCACACACACACTCTCACACACACACAACACACAAGGCTACTCACACACACACAATACACACACACAACACACACATTCACACATACTCACACACACTCACACACACACACACACAGAATAAGCAGGATGCACGGTCACCCTGCCCACGAGGGCTCGGCCTCCCACGCCCAGACACGTTGGGACTCCTGGCACCTCTGCCGTGACTACTGCCCGATGAACTATTTGCTGTGCAGCCCTGGACACGGTGCCTGGGCTCGCTGACTCTCCATATTCTCCTCCATGATATGGGGATCATAAAAGTCCCTAGAGCTACTGCGAGGGTGACATGGGATGACGGCTTTAAAGTTCCAAAACATAGCAGATGCGCTGTAAAGGGGTGTGCATGGTTATTAGCTCACCGAGGAACACAGCACCCACACGCCCCTTCTCCCTTAGACACACCGACTCGTGCACACACAGTCACACACACACGTGTGCAAGCACACACCCTGCCACCTCCACCCGCATAGGAGCCTGCCCGGGCCCTGGGGGATATCCAGTCCTAAGGGCCACGATTCCCTGAGCCCTGGCCACCAGAGGGCAGCATGCTCCCCACCTGCCGCTCACGTCATCATCCCCTCCTCTCCTGGCACTCGTGTGCCACCCCCTGCCTGGGATTCATGCATGTCCCTGTGCCCTCCCCCCCCCTTGGTCACCTGGCCCCTCCCAGCCGCACCAACCAGTCCAGGAGGGATGGGAGGGAGTCCGCCATCCTTGCACAGGCACCTCTCAGGGAGGGCACCGGGGCCTCCCAACGTCACTGTGCCCAGGCCTGCTGCCCAACTGCCCAGACCAGGAGCACACAAGGACCCACATCCAAACCACGAGGGCAACCCCAGGGGGCTGAGGGCCTCGAGCTCACAGCTGAGTTCAAATCCTGCTCTACCACCTTCTGCCTGGGAAACAGCCTGCGAGACGGCCCGTTGTCCTGTCCGCCCGGGTTCACTCCGTCCTGAATCCTCAGCACCTGCCCACGCGCTACCTTTGCTGGGAGGTGTCCTCTTTCTTATGTTCTTTTGTTTCTACTGCACGTTTTCCTCTGGCATAGTCTGTATTTACTTACTGGTCTTGTTGGCTGTCAGTCTCCCCGTTAGATTAAAAACGCCAAGAGATTTCTGACTCGTGTTTACCGCTCTATCCACCTGCTTAGACAGAGCCAGGCGCTCCTGGGGGTCCAACCGGAGTCCACAGGGCAGCTGGGGTCGGCTCAGTTCTGCGGCTCCAGATGAACCCCAAGGCAGCCACAGGCCGAGAACTAGGAGCCCCTTCCCCCACTCATCGGTGTCTGAGAGAGACCACAGAGGTTTCTACCACCCAAGCCCTCAAACCTTCTGGGACCGAACCCTAAATTAGCTGGGTCCCGCCCCCTGGAGACCCCAACTCCCCACCCAGGCGCCAGCCCACCTTCCCCCCAGTGGCCTGGACCCGGGAGACTCCGCCCCTGCAGATCTGCCACCTGCTGGGCACTAGCGCCTTTCCCCCTCTAG